TATTTGCGTATGTAAGCATTATACTTTCATTTTGTGGCTATATATATATATATATATATATATATATATATATATATATATATATACAGAGCCTCTGCTATTGGGGAAGCTAAAATTATACAGATTGAGTAGAGGTTTGAGTGAGTGAATTGTATCGGGAATATTCATGTTTTCTGGTATCGTCTTCCTTCCATTTAAAGTACCCAGTAACTGGAGTTCTTTGGACCGTTTGTCAATTAAAAAACTGAAAATATAGGGAAATAAAACAAGGGCAGTCAAACAGATCTGATGGATAAAAATGGAATCATAACCCCACATAAAAAGGTCTGCAGGAGAGGAAAAAAAAAACAGACGATTTTACCAAATGAGGCAGCATATGCAAGAAGTGAACAGATGGGGAATCCTAATGCCTTGCATTCCCCAGACTCTGGAAGAAGAGATGGAGAAAAATAATAACTTGGACTGAGCTAAAGAAAGAATTGGAAACAAATTTAGACAAGGGAGGGAGTTGAGAGTATGTGTTAGGTATAACTGTCAGTAGATTAATTTTCATGTGTTGTGGTGAACAACTAAAAATAATTTACACAGAGAGTTGGCTTATGAAGCAGTTATTCTCAGTCAATAAAGTACAGTCATTGACCAATTCATAAAAAAAGAGAAAAAGACAAATATTCTAGCTCTAACAAATAAAACTTGAATAAAACTGAATATTATAATCAATAAATGGTGCAGTCAAAATACAGCATATTTTACAAGCAATAAAGCAAAATGTAGCCACACTCGGAGAAAGGAAAACAGATCCGACAATAATAATTTAGACAGAATTAATCTGGAAATGATCAATTATTATAGCGGAGAAATGTGTGACGATCTAGAAGTTTCCTTTGTCTACCGACTTGTGAGTGATGATCTCTTCTTCAGAATCAAAATATAGAGACACAAAAAGACAAATTAATGGGCGACGGTGAGGTTCTGTTGGGTAGCAGCTATGAGGAACGACTTCAATCCTGGAAATCTGAATTTTTTTAATCTCTTCATTCTTTGATCGCTGTAAAGCAGAACCATGTTCTCACTGCAAGAAAGCTCGTTGGATAAACCATTTCTAAGAAGGCAATGGATGGAAAAGTTTTTCCTCCTTTTTCATTATTCTGAGGAAAGAGTTAAAAGATTCTACATCAAAGCCAGCGTCAAACCGAGATAAGAAAAGCATTAAAGGCAGGTGTGTATATGCAGAGGCATGCATAATGTCAGCCTCCGCCTCTATATTGCTTGCTTGCTTCGGCTGCCATTGTAACGGGGTGAGGGGGGAACTGTCTGGGTATTTGGGAGGGGGGAAGTGAGCTGGTGGAGATGTCTCGTAACAGGGAGTGAATTGGAGAAAGTTTCCCTCAGCGCTTTCTCTGCAGCTGGGTGGCCTACTGATAACCAGTCAAGATCAACCATCTCAGCATTCCAGAAGGATGGAGCCATCTGAAGCTGCACCCCACATGACACCTTGGGGGGCTGTCAATCCTGACTGGTCCCTTGGGGGGAGGGATTTGGGGATGCTTTCTATATGTGATTTTCGCACCTATTGCCTCAGACCTTGCTTTTCTTTAGTTGCATTCAGTTCATACTCAGTAAAAGTACCTTTCTCTAAAAACAATGGAGTCGGGGTTATTCTTTCTTGAGTACTGAAAGGAGGCATACCTGACACATATATTGCAACACTGGTTTATCATTTATCTTCCTCTCTAAGAGAAAGCATAAGATGTGGCTTGAGGCTACTTCTATAGCTCTTCACCTAGGCAAGCTTTGCTATTTTAGTTAGTTTGGTGCCATTGCAAGAGAGGACTGCTAATGACGGCAAGGGCAGAAGTTTTATTTATTTTTATTTATTTATTTAGTTTGTCAAACATGTACGAGATAACAGGAATAAGGATAAACATGGATATGAACCAGTGGTGAAATGCAAATTTTTTTGCTACCGGTTCTGTGGGTGTGGCTTGGTAGGGAGTGGTCATGTGACTGGGTGGGTGTGGCCTACTTTTTTTTTTAGTTTTTAAAGCATTTTTTACTATTTATTGGCCCGAACTGGTAGTAAAAAAATGCTTTAAAAAAGTAAAAAAAAGAGGTTCCAACAATCACAGCTGTTCCATGTGATCGCGGAACCTTTTTTTTTACTTTTTTAAAGCATTTTTTACTACTGGTTTAGGTGAACTGGTAGTAAAAAAAATGCTTTAAAAAAGTTTTTAAAAAGGTTCCGCCGATCATACAGTATAGCTGTGATTGTCGGAACCTTTTTTTTTAAAAAACTTTTTAAAGCATTTTTACTACCGGTTCACCTAAACCAGTAGTTTTTGTAGCTCCTGAAGAGGAGCGAACCGGTAGCATTTCACCCCTGATATGAACACAGGAAATGGGTATGAATTGATGGGGACAGTAGGACAGGGATGGAAGGCATGTTGGTTCGCTTATGCATGCCCCTTAAGTTCTAAAAGATTTCTGCTTTACCTTTAACAGGAGGGTGGGTTCTGCCCCCCCTTTATTTCCACACTCCTCTTTATTTTGGCTTGGTAGATGTCTATCCCAGGTGGAGACCAAAGGAGAGATTATAAGGGAAAAGTGGGATCCTCTTAAGGCAATTGAAATGATTCGCTCTGCTCTGTGATTCATCTCCTAGTTCCCCTTCAAAAGCCCTTGGAGTGCATATTACTGACATTTGAATGACCAATATATAAGTCTCTTGATTCAGAAAATGGAGGTGGAGGAGTTATACCAACAAAAGTTCTTGGGTTTTTTTTTACAAACTGATAAAATCTATTATTGTATAAAGTTTTCCCCCTGTAGTGAAGGTAAGGGCCCTTTTGGTAGCTGCATTGGCATAAATTCAGCCTTTCCCCCAATAACATCATTTTTCAGAGTCTACAAGCCAGCTCATTGAGCTTCCTGATGACCAACTAGGTCTAAATGCTAGCAACTTTGAAAGGATGTTAGATTGGTTCAAAAAGTGCCTCTGGTTCACAAAATACTCCTAAAACCACCTCGCTACTGTCTTCTCCTTGGCATTTAAAACCCCTTATATTGACTGTTTCCTAATATGATTTGATTGCTTATTTGTACCCTATGACTATCATTAAGTGTTGTACCTTAGGATTCTTGATGAACGTATATTTTCTTTTATGTACACTGAGAGCGTATGCACCAAGACAAGTTCCTTGTATGTCCAATCACAATTGGCCAATAAAAAATTCTATTATTCTATTCTATTCTACTCTACTCTACTCTACTCTACTCTACTCTACTCTACTCTACTCTACTCTACTCTACTCTACTCTACTCTACTCTATTCTATTCTATTCTATTCTATTCTATTCTATTCTATTCTTGCACAAGAGTGCCCAAATTTTTGAGAATTATATTACCAGGTAGCAGCATTGACGTGGATGAAAGAATGGATCGAATTAAGAAATATAAGATTACTAACTTTGGAAGGACATGATTTACAATTGGGATGGCATGCATTTTTATGATATGGTAGAAGTAAGATACATACATATTTTCATAGACACTATGTAAGAAATGCATTGTTATTAGTGTGGGAGAAGGTAAGAGATAAATACTATGTGAAAATTCCAATATGGTTATCAACAATGGAAGCATTGATACACCCAAATATGGTTAATTTTAGAAATATTTTTAGATATAAAGACTTACTTATAGACAAGGGGCAATTGAAAGGGAAACAAGAAATGGAAGAACAAGGGATTGTGATAGACTGGTACACACATATGCAAATACAAGCAAGGTATGAAAAAGATGGAAAATTATATGGTTTTTATTTAGAAATGACAGATTTGGATAAGATACTCATGGGAACAGAGGATAAAATAATTTAAAAAATCTATAACTTCCTGCTTAGTATGGATTTAGAGGAAGAACAAGTAAAGGAAACAATGATTGCTTGGGCAAAAAATTGTGGCTATTCAATTGAGTTTGATAATGGCAACAGTTATGGGAAAGGAACTATAAACTAACAATGTCCACTGCATATAAAGAGAATCAATATAAAATGTTTTATAGATGGCATATGCCTCCAGAAAAATTGGCAAAAATGTTTAAAGACAAATCAACTAAATGTTGGAAATACCATCAAATACCAGGATCATCTTATCATATGTGGTGGACATGCCCAGAAGCTAGAGACTATTGGAGCAGAATTAAGACATGGTTAGAAGAAATGATCTAACAACGTATTGATTTAAAACCTGAGCTGTTCCTATTGAGTATACTACCAGAGAAAATTAGTAAAGAAAATATATACTTGATTATACATATAATAACGGCAGCGAGGATAATATTTGCACAAAGATGGAAAGCAGAGAAAATCCCTTTGGAAGGGGACGTAATTAAAAAAAATCTTAGATTGTGCAGAAATGAACAGATTAACTTTGATGTTTAAAGAGAGAGAGGATATGGACTATTATAAGATATGGGAGAAATTTTATGATTGGTTAAAAAAAGAGGTATAGATAAAGATTGTGATAATTAAATAAGGAGAATGTTATATTAAAGGTATTGTAATTTGGGGGGGAAATATCGCAACAGAGAAATGGAAACTATCAAGGAGAAATGAAGATAGGAGGAGTAATAAAAAGAAGAAGTCACGGAAGAAACACCGAGAAGACACACGGAAGGATTGATGTATTATGTGTTTATTTGTTTTAAAAAATAAAAAACAAACTTTTATATGTATAAAAAAGAGTGCCCAAATTTAATTGTATTAGCATGCCAGCCAAGGGGAGCTCTGCTTAATCCCCTCCTTTGGGCTTTTGCTTTGGGGGTTGCCTTGAAAAAGAACCCTTCCAGGTATCATTGTTGAAGTGACATGCGGTAAGCCAGCTGAAAATCTGCCCTCTAGTAGTACTGTTGCAACTTTGAAGTTGTGCAACACCTTTAGCAAACACTTCCTCATGTGAGGGCATGAATAAAGCTGGAGCACTCATTACTTGCTTCTCAGAGTCTACCGGGGATCTGCTTAGGTTGGCTGGAAAGCAGAAAGAGATTCCTCACCCGCCAGCCAAACCCAGGATCCAAAATGATCCCAGCTCTCTTGGTTACTATATGCTTAACAATGTTTTCATACCAAGGTAAGATGTTTTCTTTGGTTTCATTTTTTTTTTCATATTCTTACTGCTTAAAGACTATTGTACCTGAGAGGTTTCTATGGTTTTGCTTTAACAAGCACTTGTCCCAGACTCAGTCAAAAGAATGCTCTTAAAGATCTCATTTGTGCTAAAATTACATAGAGGTTTTTTTTTTTTAACTTCAATGTTGTCAAGCAGGAAATAGATCCTAAGAAACAAAGCACGTTCAAGTTAGAGGGAAAGTTTTCCAATAATGTGAGTAAAAATTAGAAGACTGAAGAGGACAGAGAAAGGCAGAGTTTGTGGCAAGAAAATTTCAGGAAGCAAAATATTAAAGGGAAAAATCAATATTTTTTCAGTTTTAATTTTCTTCCAATAGAACTCCTGTAATTAAGCTTGCATAATATTTTATTTATTTATTTATTTATTTATTTATTTATTTATTTATTTATTTATTTATTTATTTATTGGTTCAATTTATATGCCGCCCTTCTCCGGAGACTCAGGGCGGCTTCCAATGCGTTAAGCAATAGCCTTCATACTTTTGTATATACCTGCTTAGTAGGGCTTTCGGCCCCCCCTAAGCGGTGTTCTTTTTTTATATATATATACAAAGTCAGCTTATTGCCCCCACAATCCGGGTCCTCATTTTACCTACCTTGGAAGGATGGAAGGCTGAGTCAACCTTGAGCCTGGTGAGATTTGAACTCGCAGTAATTGTAGGCAGCTGGCAGCTAAGTGCTACTTAACAGCACTTTAGTCCGCTGCACCACCAAATCCTATTATTCAACCAAACAAAAGCTAGCATTATTATTGTTATCTTCAAGGACTCTTCAGACTGTACTCAAACAAATGCGACACTACTTAGTACTTTTCTCAATATAAGGTTTTCAGATTTATGCCAGTTGGCAGCACAGAAATACAGTTTTTATTTTCCAGTTAGCGTAGATGAATATTCTTTAAAATCCATGTTAAGTGTGGCCTTAAATGCGTTCTCTTTCATATGAGACTTTGGGAGAAATTTTGTTTACTATGGCAGAGAAAAGTGTATTCATGCAGCATGCTTAACTAATTTGGTGGGAGCCCAGGCATCCAGGGTATCACTAATGGAGTATACTCAGTTATAACCTTGGTTATGTGACTTGTGGATTTAGTATATCTATAAAAGGGACCCAGTGGCTCAATGGCTAAGACACTGAGCTTGTCGATTGAAAGGTCAGCAGTTCAGCGGTTCGAATCCCTAGTGCCGCGTAACACGGTGAGCTCCCGTTACTTGTCCCAGCTTCTGCCAACCTAGCAGTTTGAAAGCATGTAAAAAATGCAAGTAGAAAAATAGGGACCACCTTTGGTGGGAAGGTAACAGCGTTCCATGTGCCTTCGGCATTTAGTCATGCCGGCTACATGACCACGGAGAGGTCTTTGGACAGCGCTGGTTCTTTGGCTTTGAAATGGAGATGAGCACTGCCCCCTAGAGTCGGGAACGACTAGCACTTATGTGCAAGGGGAACCTTTACCTTTACCTTAAAGTCAGTTTGGTTGGTAAATTTAAATAGGGCTCAGTGTAGCATGCTGGGTTAAGATTGTGGCACGAACCACTTTCAAGCCAGAATTTAGATCAGAGTGCAGCATGGAGATCTACTTTGGTCATGCTTGTTTTTGATCTGTGGTAAACCTAGGATGTGGGTAGTGCATTCATCCTGATTCCCTTGATCTCTCAGCAGCCTTTGATACTATCAACTATGGCATCAAAGGCTGCTGAGGGGGTTGGGAGTGGGAGGCAACCCACTTTCGGAACATGGAGTGTTTCCGTCTTTGGATGGCGCACTCCATTCAGAATTGATGCGCAAACTGGGGTTTCTTCTGGATTCATAGCTCCTACTCAAAGAGCAGGTGGCAGCTGTGGCCAGGGAGACCTTTGCACAACTGCTAATTTGTGCACCAGTTTTGTTCATTCCTGGGCTGCAGGGCACTGTGCTTGCATTCACTCATGTCTTAGTCACTTCCTGATTGGACTACTGCAAAACACGCTTCATGGGGCACTCCGTAGTCCAGATAGTCCGAAAACTATCTGAACCTCTGAAATCGTATCTCTACCCTACCTTATTACTTACTTACTTACTTACTTACTTACTTACTTACTTACTTACTTATTTATTTATTTATTTATTTACTTATTTACTTATTTACTTATTTATTTATTTACTTATTCATTAATCTACTTATTTACTTACTTACCTATTTATTTATTTACTTATTTACTTACTTATTTATTTACCTACTTACTTATTTACTTACTTATTTATTTACTTATTTACTTATTTATTTACTTATTCATTAATCTACTTACTTACTTATTTATTTATTTACTTATTATTTACTTATTTGTTTATTTATTTATTTACTTACTTGCTTATTTACTTACTTACTTATTTACTTGTTTATTTACTTACTTACTTACTTATTTATTATTTATTTATTTATTTATTTATTTATTTAAATTTATATTGCCGCCTATTCTCACATGGCGACTCAAGGCAGCTTACAAGAATGTAAAAACCTCATATATAAAACAATAAAACTAATAAAAGAGAATAATCATAAATTAATAAATTAATATAATAAAATCACCCCCCCCCCCAGTGACAACACATCACATGAGCTATTTAATGGGCTCCATCCCGTCTGCATTCCCCGGGCCCGCTGGCATTATTCTTCGATTTGTGCTTCTTTCCTATTTAGGATAGTGTCTTTTTGGTAAGTAGAGGCAGAGAGAGGTTGCTTTGTGAAATCTGATGGGAACGGGAAAGCTGGACCAAACACGCTGTGTAATATGGATGCTTGGATCTAATCAACCAGAATCAGCACTGTGGCATGGAAGGAGATGCCTTTAACTCTCTAACACCTCCTTCTCCAATCCTGCTATTTGCAATAGAGCAAGTGTGGTTAACTGGAGTTTGTGACACCACAAACTTCATCTTCCAAACTCAATTTCTCACATGCTACCTTTCTCTCTCTCCCCACCTCCAATTCCTTAAAGGTTTCTCCTGTCCAGTTCATATCCGATTCTAGGGGTATGTGTGCTCATCTCTGTTTCTTAGTCAAGGGAGCCAGCATTATCCAAAGACACTTCTGTGGTCATGTGGCCAGCATGACTATACATGGAATAATGTCATTTTCCCATCAAAGTGGTACCTATTTATCTACTCACATTTGCATGCTTTCAGACTGTTGGCAGGGACTGGAGCAAATAACAGGAGCTCACCCCATCACTTGGCACTCAGGTCAGTTTTCCAGCTGACAAGCTCAGCATCTTTAACCCCTGAGGCATCACACTCCCTTCCTTAAACTTACTCTACAGTAATAGCAATAGCACTTAGATTTATATACCGCTTTACAGTGCTTTACAGTCCTCTCTAAGCTGTTTAGAGAGTCAGCCTCTTGCCCCCAATTATTTGAGTCCTCATTTTACCCACCTCGGAAGGATGGAAGGCTGAGTCAACCTTGAGCCTGGTGAGATTTGAACTGCCAAATTGCAGGCAGAAGTAGCCTGCAGTAGTGCACTCTAACCACTGCGTCACCATGACTCATTCTCATTGCTCGTAATGCAAATATTAATATCCAATTCCTTTGATGTTCATCTTTCTCCCAAAAACCACTAAAGAAAAAAATACACTACAGATAATCCTCAATTTACATTCACAATAGGGATAGGAGATTTTGTTAGCTGGTGCAGTCATTAAGTAAGATATCCTGTGACCATCCCTGATTTTGCAACCTTTTTGCTGTGGTTGTTAAGCGAGACATCACATTAACGTGACTTCTAACTGCTTGTCAATTTTCCCATCGATTTTGCTTGTGTGAAGCCAGCTGGGAAGAGCACAAGTGATGATCGCATGACCACCATTGTAAATGTATGATGGTTGCCCAGTGCCTGAATCATGATCAGATGAGCGCAGGGACACTGTGACAGTTGTAAGTGCAAGGATTGGTCATAAATCATTTTTTTTCAGCACCACCATAAATTCAAACAGTTGCTAAATGAATGGTTCTAAGAGATGGATTCCCTGTACTCAACATTCTGGGAAAATTGCAGCATTGTTTTTTTAAGAAGAGAAAGTTTATATTTAAAAACCTTGCATCAGTGAGACTGACATATAAAAGGAGAAAAACAGGAAAGTTTCCTTTAAAAAAAAGAGTTCTTGAGCAACTTACTATATATTAACAATACATCAATTAGGTGATTGTTCATAGAGATTTTACATGTTAAAGTATATTGGCAAAGCATAAAGTCCATCTGGAGATTGATATAGTCTAAGTAAGTGTATGTTGAGAAGCAATTGCATCAAACACTTCCATGTGTTTGTGTGCAATAGACCAAAAAAAACAATCCAGTGCCATCACAACTCACATTGTTTATGTCACATCTATGTCAGTGTTTTTCAACCTTTGGTGGCTTTAAGATCTGTGGACTTCAGTTCCCAGAAGTTGAACTTCAACTCCAGAATTCTGGGCATTGAAGTCCACCTATCTTAGTTGCTAAGGTTGAGAAACAGCGGTCAATGTAATCAAATTTAGAGGTGCAATGAATCATGAAAAAGAGGCAAATCTTTAGATTTGGAATAATCTCTGGGTCTTTGGGATCCAATCTAGCAGCTACAACAGCAGCAGAAGCACACATCAACATTTCAATAACCTGGAAGTGAGAGGGATATTTCCATTGCTCATTACACAACCCTGACTGAATCGGCCAAGATATTCCAAAAAAATGCACCAAATTGCTGGAAATGCAATCATCAACATGGGACATATTTCCACATGTGGTGGACATGCCCCAAAGCAAAGGCATATTAGTTAAAAATCCAAAAATGGTTAGAGGAAATAACAGGGGAAAAAATTGCTAGGAAACCTGAACTATTTTTATTGGGAATTATAAAAGACAAGATTAGGAAAAAAAATTATTACCTTATACCTCACATAATTACAGCCGCCAGAATTTCATTTGC